CAGCTGTTAACACTTCCCGCAAGTCAAGCTGCACGAGATTCACAGAATTTACAGAAAATGTTACATATCGTTATCGGGACGATAGAATTCTTATATCCGGATATGAGATTTTGGTCATATCGCACAGCCCTAGTCGAATCCATGAGAAAAAATACAAAATCCAATGTTCACACAGTTTGACAGGCATAAAATAGTGTGTTCGCACCAACATGGTGATTCCCAACAGCCATTAGGTAAAAACTTGGAATATTTCGGCATAGTGAGCAGTGTATCCTGAGAAAGAAATAAATGAAATTGGTCCTTTAGTTGAGTCACCAACTGTTCACTGAAGCCTCATTAGAAATGGTCTCAGTGGAAGGGTGGCTGTCAAGAAGCCTTTCATACGGAATAGAAATATGGTGAAAAGGGCAAATTACACAAAAACCAATTTGGGAAAATAAAACATGCATGCATGCATGCATGCATGTATGCATGTATGCATGTATGTATGTATGTATGTATGTATGTATGTATGTATGTATGTATGCATGTATGCATGTATGCATGTATGTATGTATGTATGTATGTATGTATGTATGTATGTATGTATATTTGCAACAGGTGTAATGGACTCATGAATACAAATTTCAAGGGAGACAATCATGAGTGTCTACATTCATCTGTAAAACACACTGGAGGCTCTGTCGTGGTTTGGGGCTTGGGATATCTTTAAAAAAAAAGAAAAGAAAAAAAAACCTAAAAAAAAGCCATAGGTAATTAATTTTTCAGCAATGACATGAATCCCAAATACAATGTCAGATTCTCCAAAAGCATACCTGAATAGAAAAAGCACAATGGAACAGTCAGTCCTGGATTTTCTCCCCAGAGGCCCACATACAAGTGGCTCAAAACTTTTGCACAGCAATATAACTCTTATTAGCAGTTCATACCAAAACAAACAAACAAAAACAAGAACAAGAACAAAAACACCAGGTTATTTTACTTGTTGTTTCGTTTGTTCCAGCGTTAATGGCAATTAACTTCGGAGTGACGTAAAGTGTTTGATGACGCCTTCTACTGTTCCCTTCAGTCCACATTTCGAGGCCACGTCGCACGAACTGTCCCTGAACAGAAAGTGAAATCACTCAGTTTGGCTAATGACAGCAGACTGGCCCAGCAGGTAACGCTAAATTAATCCATTAGTGTCACTAGCTAACTGCTGAGGACGTCAAGAGCTTTGTGAACGGCAGAAAACTTCCCAGACGGAGTTACTAGCTAATTCAGTAACTTCACCCGGATACAGGGAGCTATCAGCCCGCTGCTGAAAACATAAACTCACAGGGCGCACATCGACACTTACCAGTAAAAAGACAACTCGACAAAGTCATTTACACTCGCTAATGACTACTGCGAGCCTCCATATTGTGAAGAAAAACTTAAACGTTCAGACAACAACTCGCTGCCTCTTCGGACAGAGGTGTTGTTTATAAACAGCTCCCAGTACGTCCGCGAATAGTTTCCGACCACAATCAGCAGCCGCAGAACATAATGTTCCTCATCACTACCCCGTGATCCCTGTTCTGATAGCGAATCAGTGACATGTTTCTAAAATAATACTCCCGCTGACGGTAGTGTTTATTTCCCCCATCTGTCACATTTTATTGCTTCAGGAAAATGACTGTTTACCATCTGTTCTTCATCTAAAAAAAATTAAAAGATTTGCACACTCAATTTCTTACATTAAAAAATTTAGGATGCAGTAGCCACTAGTTTCACCCTGCCCTCCAAAAAGCCTTATTTATCTGAATATTGTTATTAGATTTAAAACAATATATTTGATGTTCTTTGTTAAAGATAAACGATGACATAACAGCGAAACTGACCAGTTAAATTAACACAGATATCAACTTTTTGTGGCTACTTAACATTTCTAAGCTGGTTGGGGTTTTGTTCGGGCGTTTGGACTTCACAGCTTAGTCATTTCCAAGCTGCTGGCCTCAGCCCTGATATGTGGTCATACTGTTTTTTAAAATACACCGTGAAAGTGAAAATGTATGACATTTCAAAAATGTGTCATGGCCCTTTCTTTTTTTCTTTTCTTTTTTTTTTTGCCAGCCAGACATTTAAACTAAAATGAACATGTGCTACAAATAAATAAATACAAGTTAGAAATGCTAGATTGTTCACACTTGCGCGTCTTCCACACCGCTTTTTACCGTGCGTGAAACAGCATCAATCCTGTGGAAGGAAACATTAGATGTGATATTTTTTGTCTGTGTTGCGTTTGGAAGAAAGACTGGGGTTCCCCCTCCTCTACTGTGAGATCAGCCAGCGTGAGTGGGTCTATTGCATGTTTCCACTTCTATTCTTCAGCACCTTTTACCTTTGACATTTAGGCCAACCCCCCACACACTCTTCCCTCAGCGGATGCTCCAATGCGAAGGGCCACAGCACACAGTCCCCAGCTACAGGGGATTTCCCCTGGTGCTGTACACATGTTGTTAATGTGTGTGTGTGTGTGTGTGTGTGTGTGTGTGTGTGTGTGTGTGTGTGTGTGTGTGTGTGTGTGTGTGTGTGTGTGTGTGTGTGTGTGTGTGTGCTCATATGTGTTTGCTTGTGTTTATGCCAGTGTGTCTGTCCACTTTCAGGGGACTCCCAGACTTGCAGACTGAGGGGGAGGAGGGAATAGAGCTGACAGCCTAAATAGCAAATCATCATCAAAAATGTTTCTGTCTCTGTGTTTGTGGAGACAGAGAGAGAGAGAGAGAGAGAAGGAGGAGGAGGAGGTGTCTGAGCGTGTGTAAGTTGTACCCTTGATGTGGGCACATCAAGGGTACTTACAAAGAAGAAGCATGTCCCGTTATGTAAATCATTCAAGTCTAAGGTGAAGACTTGCTGTGAGGTTATGTTTATGTCAGGGATGTCAAACTCATTTACATCAAGTGGGCTGGACCAGTAAAACTGCCCTTTCTGTCAGTTATAATATACGAACATTACATGAAATTTCATCAGCAGTTCCCAGTTTTTCTACACGATAAAGAACGGCTGCTGTAGGAAATGAAAGAAATGTGTCAGCATGACTCTTTGGGCTTAAACTGTAAGAAATAAATCTGTAAAATTACAGGAAATGTTCTGCTAGCTTGTTGCTCAGACTGTGATTTAGGTATAAAACAAAGAATTTTTCCTTTTTTTAAAAAACCATTGTAAAACACAATTTCTCTTTCACATTTTCCAAAGCTGTCCAGTGGGCCGGTTTAGAGTCTCTGATGGGCCAATTCTGGGCCCTGGGCCTTATGTTTGACACCACCGGTTTAAGTGAATAGTCGGAATCAGTGATTTGGCGTGAATGAAACACCACCGTGTGTGTTTAAACATGTGTCGTTTGGGGTCCCAGGAGGACTCAGGTGCCATTTGTTTCAGTCTAATCCGGGAGGTCTGTCAGCAGGAGAGGAAGCAAGCAGGGAGCTCCGTTCATGTCTTACCTCATGAATCTTTACTGGTTTTTGTTGTGGCAGGTGTGATTAGCACATCCTGATGCCTCGGTGGATATGGGCCTGGTTTTTTTTGTCATGGTAGACTTTGTGACAAGTCATGGTAGGAAAACACAGGTGTTTCTAATAACATTAACTATGGCAGGTGGTCCAATAAGCCAGGACACTGCTTCCACAAAAAGCAGACATGAACCTGAAGCTGCTACATAAACATAGTCATGATTTTAATTTCCCTGCCCTCTTGATGTGTACATGAAAACATGCTTGCTGTTGTTTATACATGGCTTTATGAAAAGAACTTATGAATTGAGAACCAGAAGAATACATGCTTTGAATCTGTGAGTGTGTGTGTGTGTCTATATGTTCTAATGGGACCTCTAATTAAGACTCTGGGTATCTGCTATCTGTCAGCACTGATCGATCGGCTTGGAGAGTGACAGCTCAGCGTGTGAGTGTGTCTGTGTGTGTGCGTAGATTTTGCTTTTCATGCTCTCTGCTTCATGTCATGTTATTTTACATGTAAGTAACACAGTTGTAGGAGGAATATTAACACTTCATTCATTTTCTTTCGCATGTACACAATCACACCACTTTTTTTTTTAAAAAGAAGACAAAAGTGTGAATGTTTTTTTCCTGCATACTCATTAAAAAACACATCACAGTCCCCACGCACCTTCCCCCAAACCAAAGGAGGGTGAAGTGTTGGACAGATATTTGTTGTTATGTGCCACATGCACTCACAAACACACAGAATTATAAGTAATAAACTGATAATGTTTATGGGCATTTCCAGGTTAGTATGTGTCACTGAAAGCCATTGTGCTTCATCTTTCTAAAATGGTTATTTTATTCACAAAGGGGAAAGTTTAAACATCATAAAACAGAAGAGGTGGTGGTGCGTGCTCACTCTTTACTTTTTTGTGCACTTTCTTCTGCTTCTACCCACTTCTTCTTTTTTCCCCGCACACATGCACAGGTAGAGCTGTTCACAATTGTCTAACAGTTGCTATCAATCACCTGGCTGTTAGAGACAGAGAGTGTGTGTCTGTGTTAGCGGTAACGCTGTTGTGCAGGACGGCAAGTGAGTGATGGCGGTAACAGTATAGACGGCATGTGCTGTGAAATGTCACCGTGCCGATCGATGGTGTTTAACGAGGCTGGAGGCTGATCTGGACCTCATGCTAACATGAAGCTCTTCTCCCCGCCCTCTTCCTCCCCCTCCTCACTTTCCTAATCCCTCTCTACTCTCTGTGAGAGCCCGAGGGTCCCCCAGGAGAGAGACAAGGCCTTTTACCTGTCAAGAGGCTTTTGTGTCTGACAAGTCACACACACACACACACACACACACACACACACACACACACACACACACACACACACACACACACACACACACTTAAAAAAAACATGTAAAAATGTGGCTGAAATTTGATGTTTTGTTACCTTATATAGAAAACAATATTTTGTTTGTGCTTTTTCTTCTTTTTTGTCAATGAATTATAAAGAATCAAAACACAAGACACAGCCGGGGTCAGAATAATCAGAACTAGTTTATGATTTCAAAGTGCTGAACAGAAAATCCAGTGAACCAAAGAGAAAGAAAAAACAACAACATATCGAACAGGAAACTCTAACCAAAGAAGGACATTGAAAAAACAGCAACTTTTTTTCTCTTTTTTTGTTTCTCTTCAAAAAACAATGCACAACTCGTACCACAATATTTGAAAAAGCTAAAAACACTTCAAAATATTAGTTTTGTATATATATATATATATATATATTTATATATATTTATATCTATAGAATTTGATTTTTTTTATTTATTTTAAAACCGTCGTCATGAGGGTGTGAGTGGGTGGTGGAGGCCCTGGGGAGATTCCCATAGAGCTGCAGTCTGAGACACAAACACAGGTCGAGCTGTTTTGACAGGCTATGCCAGCTCTCGACAGCTTATAACACACCATGCATATGATCCTGGCTTGTCTAAGCGCACACACAAAGACGGTAGGCGATCATGTCCTCCACACTCACACAGCCGCCGCGATATATAAAACGATAAAGAAAAAGAGCATGAACGTGGAATGTTTCACCCCTGGACGTACAGCTGTCTGTCGAGCACCCTCCTCTCCCTGTCCCCCAGGCGAGCAGGTAGGGTGTGTGTCTGTGCTTCTAGCCCCTCTCAGGGTGTAAGTGCTTCCAAAGCCAATTTCTGTCCATGTTCATTCCTCCACACTTCTACTCGACCTATGATTTCAAACTGAGTTAATAAAACAAACAAACAAAAAAAAAACAAAAAACCACATAGTAGAGAAAGTTCAAGTCTGGGTGACTCAGTCATCGATCGTTAGTGCACAGTATCTCCTCTGCTGTCTAAAGCAAGATGGGAGACTGTCTTTCTTTTTAGCTACTGACAGTACAGGACAAGTTTTTGTATTAAAATAATTTAGAGTTTGAAATTAGATTTCCCCTCCTCCTCCATCCCTTCCTCTTGTGGCGCGATAGCACTTAAGGAATTGCACTTGTAATTAAGAGCCCGCCTCAACAGCCACTTCCATGTGTTTATGAAACACCTGTGTCCTGCGTCGTAACATTTTGGCCCACCTACGCCTACGCCGCTCCACCTCTGACATGTCGGCACATTTCGGAACGATCACCTCCCCCTCCCCGCACTCTCTCTTTTACATCGCCACCTCTCCCAGCCCTCCTTTCTAAATGGAAGTCCTCAGACAGAACGAGCCAGGCCGAAACACAGATAAACAGTACTCATAAACGTCGGTTCTTTCTTTGTTTTTTTTGTTTTTTGTTTTTTTTGCCGAATAAGCTGCAACCCAGATGGAGCGAGGACAGTCAAAAAAAAAAAAAAAAGTCACTTTTCTCCTGTCCATCTCAGCCTCATCATCCTCCCCCCTCCTCCCAGCGTGGGGCGAAACAGGAGGACCAAATAAAAAGTGGTAAAGCGTTTGAGTAATTGTCTTTTATACAGGTGAAAAGCATTTAGCTGGTAGTCCGTTTGAGTGAAAGGCGCTCTCGTTTGGTTGTCCCCGTCGAGTCAAAAATATTAGATTGGCTCTCCGTGCGCTGCATCAGTCTTGAGAGAGAGAGAGAGTGCCTCTTCTCTCTCTTCTGGGTGTGTTTGCATGCTCCTTTGGGGAAAGGCCTTGACAGGACGTGACGTGGGTTCATTTTGCTGCATGGTTAGCCCGAGTCGTCAGTAGGGCAGAGTGTCCAGGAACCTGTCAATCAGTGGCGGAGGCGCTACCAGATCCTCCAGCTTCAGGTAGAAGATTCGCTGAAGGCCTTGGGTCCTCTGGGAACGAAGCTCTTCCCTTATACCCAAAATACGACTCAGAGAAGGAGCGGCTTTGGACGAGGAGGATGAAGGACTGCAGCCCAGGTGGTCTCTGAGACAACAGATCACTTTATTCTGCAACTCCTCAACCCGCTTTGAGTCCTTCAGACCGGGGATTTGCTCTGTAGATTCGCAAGAAAGAAAGACGGAGAAAGAGATGTTAGGAGAATAATCATTAAATGGCCAAAATAAAGTCAGTGGGGAAAAAAAATACACACACATATACATACATCAGAGCTCATTCAGCTGAAAGAGCATTAGCTACATCTTCTTTTATATTGAATTCCACCTCATTAGCCCGTATGGCTCATGTTCTTAACAGGCCTTAACCTGGCTCATTCACTACAGATCAATACTCAGTCTAATCTAATAAGCCCCCTTCTCACTGGTGTACGTCCACATGCACGGCTATATGAGCACATTTTTTATTTTATTTTTTTAAACATTTGCACAGAAAAAAAAGTCAGTGCAATTTCAGAAATTAAGACAAAGAGCAGAACAGAAGTGCTCAACAGTTAGCTGATTATGTGGCCCTGTGAGCAGCAAAATGAAATTAGAAATGCACACACTGCTGCCCATAGCAACTCCAGTGGCACTCGTACAAGGCTTAATGTGACACTAACTCATTCTGCAGAGAACAGGGTGTCCAGCCCCCCAAACACAAACACACACATACAGGCACACTACGAGCTGTGCTGCAGGGAGGCTGCCACTAAGACCTGTCTCACTTTGAGGTATCCATTATCCGAAGCTTATTTACTGTTTGTTTATGTGACTCTTTTGTTTGTTGTGTTTGCCGCTGCAGAGTCACTCCGGCCCTCCTTTCAGCGCGGCTTTCAGACCTCTCGCCACACAATTCCGCTTCCCTGTCTTTCTTCCCGCTCTCCCTACCCCTTCTTTCTCTATGAGCGTGAGCTCCCGGGGAGAGATCGATGACTGCCTTTCTGCACAGGCCACTCTGAAGCGGTCGATCGCCTGGTGGCTCTGGTGGCTCTGTCGTGGCTTTGCGCTGTGTGCTTTGCCGAGGTGGCAGAGCGCCACTGAGAACACCGCAGACGCCATTCCAGAGCCGCGCTCCACGGTGGGCTGGTCGATCAGGAACAGAGTTAAGTGCTCCCCCAGAGGGTGAGGATGGAGTTGGAGGGCTCAGACAGAAAGAGGTTGAGGAAGAGGAGGCGGCGGGGGCAGGGTGAAATAAGGAAGCTAAAAGCAGGGGGAGGGGGATTTTTTTATTTAATTTAATTCTTTTTTTTTAGCTACTGCACATTACTTTACAGCATCCAACACCCTAAAACTGTTTTAAAAAGATGAATATAAACACTTAACTGCAGACTAGTCTCTGTCGCCTGATGCATTTTACTTAAAAAACGAAATCTGCCTCGCCTGCAGCGTGTGTGCTCTCAGAGCAGGCTGCGATTCTCCTTTCATTTTTCACACATGAACACTGATTAGAGGGCCAGGTGTGTGGCAGGTGCAGCAGGTGCTTCTGGGTATCAGGTTCTTGTTTCGGGGCAGAGATGTGTGGGAACACGCATGCACATGTGTGTCTTTAAGCGTGTGTCTGACGTTAGAGGATGTGTCCACCTGATCACTGTCACACTGAATCACCAGGAGGCAAAGCTCCGGACAACAGGAAGATGCTGTGTGTGTGTGTGTGTGTGTGTGTGTGTGTGTGTGTGTGTGCGTGCGTGCGTGCGTGCGCGCGCGCGCGGGCGAGCGAGCGAGCGTTTTATCTGTATATTCATGTTCAGCTTAAATGATTCGCAGTGTTTATGAGGAGTGGAGAGGCGATGTTAATAACTTTGAGCACAGGTGACTATATGCAACCACAGAATTAGGACCCCTTGATTCTTGTTCCTCTCGCTAGTAAGCTCGTGATTGAAAATCTGTGGTTACCTGTGAGCAGCACAAGGGCGGCCAGGCAGGCGAAGGCAGAGGTATCCAGATTTAGGTTCTGGAGGTGAGCGGAAAATTCCTGGATGGAGTCCAGCCACTCTCCGAACCCACGAAGGCACTGGAACCTGTGCAGCACCAAGCCGTTACAGAACACTAGTTTATCCTCCGACAGCATCGATCTGAGGAACCGAGAGAAAGAGGAAGGGGGAAAAAAAAGAAGGAAATGGTGGACTGATTAGATCGCCGTTTTCCAGAGAAAACTGTATTTTCCCTCATGTATTGTAAATATAGCTTGAGATGCTGGGGCAAGGAAACAATTACAATAAAAAACAATGAGAAACCTGGCAGTGTGCGCACTCACGCAGAAACGGGACACACATCAAACACAAGCATGCAGCTGATTAAGGTTGTGTTTCCAAATTACAGCATTTTAAAACATTCCTGCGTTTCCTTGCGGCAGGGTGGGGTGAAGGGTTAGGGCAGAGGGTTGCTCTGTGTGTGCGTGTATATTTGCAGATAGATAAACTGTTATGGCTTTAATGTGCCCAGGCTGTGGTGTGCAGTGGAAACACAAGGTTTTAATAAGGAAATGAAAAGTCTTCTCAGATGTATTTAACCATCACTTACTCACGACACACAACATCCCACTTCTTTGACATCAAGCAGAGAAGGAGGGAGAGAGAGAGAGAGAGAGTGCAAGCAGAGGATGATGGAGACCTATGACTGGTCTCTATTAGTCTCTAAAATAGGAGCCCGCTCTTCTTTGGAGAGCTGCAACTGTGTTTAGTTGAAGAAGGATAAACTATGAGAGATGGAAGATCTAGGGGAGAAAGTGTGTACTTGGAAAACAGATGATATTAAAGAGAGAGAGAGCAAAGATGGGAATTAGTGTGGAAAGGGAGGAAAGCCTCAAATTGCACCCTGCACAAACTTTGGTTTGGCAGTTATGAGGATAAACTGCAACGCTATTTGTGTCTAATTAGACTCAGTTCAAAAGAGACACGCCGTTAGGCCAGACACATGCACATACATGAGAAAGCATTAACAACTAACATCAAAAACAATTAGCACCAGCGATCGGGACCAAAATATTCTTTGTACTTCCAGGAAATCACAAGAAGAGAGCACAGAGAAGAAAGTGAATAACAGGAAGAGGTTGAGAAACGATGCCCCTCACCTATTCTCACCTATTGCTGGGGAAGAACAGCAAATTTGTTTTTGATTTCGATCCCTCGTATCATCTCCTCTAGGCTGAGGTTGAAGTCCTGACTTCTTGTCAAACATCTCTCACAGAACAGATTCACCTAATTTTTCATTGCTGCACCAGGTGCGACCTTAATGTTCCGCATGTGAAACTCAAAACTTGTACTTGGCTGATCAAAGTTATATCATTGAGCACCCTTGAAGCCAGCAAAATTCATATTTTTAGATCACTCCCTGGAAGTTCTGCTCTGAACTCCTGCACCTGTGCGCCTGCGATTACACCCGGGGCCTCAGACTTGCACACAGACCACTTAACTTCTGTGTCAAACTGGCCCCACGGTCATGTTGGGGCTCATCGCTGGTGATGAAAGCTGGATCTTCTCTTATAAACAAAAAAGCAGTTTTTAGTGGAAAGGTCTGCAGCATTCAAGACCAAAGGTACCGCAGTAGACGACTGGAGGGATGATCGTCGTTTACGTTCCACATTCCCCATGTTGTGCCTCGTGAATTTGCAGGATTTGACTGTAATGCACTGAAGGCATCTGAGGGAGGAATATTCAACACAGACAACCAGACCAGCACAGTCATTGCTCACTTTTCCCCGAAATAAAATTAAAGCTGAAGTGTTTCTGATTTGATCGAGCGTGTATCACAGGGGCACAGGAGCACAATGTGATTTGAGGGACTAAAATCAACAGCATTGCTCCAGAACACCTCTTGAAGGGGAGATCGGTCAAAATTCAAAACTTTATTAAAAGTTTAGCGTCAGCAGGGTCATTTTTGGAGAATTTCGCGAACATGAGAGTGAACAGTCCTTGTCGATGCACGTTTGGTGATGTATATTAGTACCTGTTATTTCCACAACATACCGGCTGTATTTCTGTGCTTAAGTAAACACAGAGCTGACCAAATAATATCTCACAGGACCATTTCACCCGTGTGAGATAGTGCCACTGGAGCAAAAATACACAGACAGGCTGGTAGATGCGTATCTAGGCAGATGCACGCACGCACACAAGCACAGGTGGATGTCTGCCACACATTCCACTTACCCCTGACTACGCTGTCACCACGGTAATCGACCAATAACCACAGAAACTGTTAGGTAACGGGGTGCTTACAGCAATGCCGGCCCAGAAGAACGAAGCAAATTTACTCTATGCACTCTGAGCACACACTCACAAGCACACAGACGCACGCTTGAGCGAGGGTCTGCGGGGCATCTAGGTTCAGCACGGGGTCAGCGAGGAGATGCGCTGCATCCATCGCTCCCACGGAAGACAGAGAAAATAAGACAGCGCTGTGTTTGTGTGCATTTTCCTCTCTGCCGTGGGAGTTTGGCCGATTGGAAGATGAGCAGTGTGTGTCTGTGTGTGTACGTGTGTTTGAAAGAGGCCCCTATGAGTCCACCCTTTAGAGTGAGTCAGAGTCCCAGCCTGATCACCCCTCCTGCTGGGACTGTGATGGCACCGCCCATCCTCTACCCACCCTGCACCTGGACCTACGCTGGGAGGAGGACAGAAAGTTGGGATTCTACATCATCAGCGAGTGTGAGTAAGTGTGCGTGTCTCACTGTGTTGGTCTTCTGCCCTAGACGACAGCGCAGACAAAGAGATGAGCTTGTAGCCCCCCACCACCGCCACCATCTTCTACCCATAAATTTAACCAGCCGCATGCCTTGCAAGAGCAAACTGGTAACCCAGGGTAATTCTGAGGCAAAGATGGGCCGGGGCAGTCACAATGGCACCACAGGTATCCATCAGTGAGACACACACGTGCTCTCTTGCTCAAACACACACACACACACATACATCAGGGGGCGCATGAGGTAAATGAAGCCCATTGTGTTTTTATGTCGGTCAGCTGAACTGAATATGTATTTCCTTCCATAACAGCGGCTCTTTTCAGTTACTCAGCTGACTAACTTTGAGATGGAAATTGATCTTGTCAATTCACAGTTCACAATGTTAGCACAGTTTTAGCCCGCAGAACACACACACAGATCTCTCTGTGCGTCAGATATCAGACGAGCAGAGCGGAACTCTGTGGGTGTAGCTGCTGTCATAGCTACAGACTCCATTCATAATTTGGTTCATATGGCGATTACTCAGCTCCACTCCTCCCACTCTGGAGATACACCAACACAGCAGCACACAGCTTTGCCAGCACAGTTATGCACTGTACTTTAATCGGAAAGGGTTTAAGTGCCTCTTGTTTCTGAGACGCTAAGCAAAACAAAGTTGCCCGTACAAGTGTAAGTCGGTGTGGTTCAAAAGCTTGAGAGGTGTGCATAGGAGTGGACATCCAAGTTTAAAACAGGTGTTAAAAGAGGCTCCATTTCTGCCTACTTACCTGTGAGCCAATCGCAGCACAAACAGCTCCAGGAAGGCGGAGTCTATGAGCAGGTTCTGATCGTCACGCTGAAGCTCGGAGAAGCCGGGCAGCCTCTCCGCCCAGCACCTTGTGGTCTCCATCGAGATGGTGAGTAGCCTGTAGAAGAGGTGGATGTGTTCGACGTCCGAGGAGGAGGATGGCGGGTCGGCAGCGCTGAACTGCAGATCAAGAAAAGAAGAGAAATTACTGAAATAACTTGTAAACTATCTGTATTCGAAAATAAACTAATGCATTTCTCCAGTTGAAATGAATTGTTAAGGGCATGGGTTACCTGGCTGTAGTCAAGGTCACGAGGTGTGCAGTGAGAATAAGCCCTGAGCAGAGCAGAGAGGAGGCTGAGGGGTGGAGAAGGAGGAGATGCCTCCGTCTGCAGGGGGCTCTTTGGTTTGGAAGGCAGACGACCTCTGCGCCCCTTCAAGCTGTCAGTACGCACCACTAAAACAGAGAAACACAGAAGGCAAGAGGTTTTTGAGTTGGACGTGGAAATATAAACTCTGCATGCACAGTCAAGTTCTACCCTCCAGCGGACCGGCTTGATATCAGCTTTTCATCACAGCGAAATAACGACTAAAAGGTTGGGAGAGCTCTCTGCAGGAGTGCTCCCAACATTGCCACGATCTCCACACACAGGAGGCCACGAGCCAGCAGATGGCAGTGGAGCTGTTCTGCAGGCTGCAGACGGACGTGTGTTAATGCAACACAGAGACATCCAGTATGCATTTTGTGTGGGTTTGTTTGCGTTTATGCATGTGGATATGTGGGTGGGGGTATTACAGGGTGTGAGACAGGTGACAAACCTCATGGGAATGGGGGCAGTTTGAGTGTCACGCTGATTCTACACATCATCGAAACGTGTCTGTCTGTGTGTGTGCACTATGCAGCAACAGTCAACGCATCAGATGTGGTGAACACAATGACATAACGGGAGAATCTTTGCATAAGATGGTCAGCTTTGAGGCTCTGCTAAACAACACTGAACTCAGGGGCTTTAAAGGTGGCAGGGACTAATTGGTATGATGTGTATCATACTTTCTTCCAACCACAGACAGGCGTTTCTGCATAGACAGTTGTGTGATGCTACCACAGGCTGGGCCATTACCGGCCTATTAACCACTGACTGCAGAGACGGGGGCTATGATCACTGACTGCAGGTCTGATTAGTGTTGCATTATTAGGATTAACTCTCAAGAGTCCAATGCCACCATCAGGTCACCTTTATGACACTTGCATTGAAGCAGTTGTGTGCATATGTGCTTGTTTGTGTGTGTGTGATTCAGGTGTGTGATCTCCTACCTTCCTTCACCATCCCCACGCTCAGACACTTCTGAAAGCGGCAGTACTGGCAGCGGTTGCGTCTCCTCTTGTCCACAGGACAGTTCTTACTGGCCAGACAGACATACTTGGCGTTTTTCTGCACGGTGCGCTGGAGAAAGAAGAAACAGGCATGCCGATAATCAGCCTCCAAACACAATCAACACCTAATATTTGATTTGTTTAATTCAATTTCTCTCTCTCTCTCTCTCTCTCTCTCTCTCTCTCTCTTTCCTTGCCCGTCAAAGAATGAAAGCGAAGCTCGCAGGTCAGATTTTAATTACGCGCTGAAAGGCGGCGGTGACATCAGTATAATTAGATAAAATTAATTTCCCAACAAGCCTCGCCTGCAGGAGGGACAATTTTATTAGCGCCGCAGCTGACAATAGAGATCCAGCGCGTGGCATGCGGAGGCGGGTCCCTTGAGACGGGGTAGAGTTGGGTGGGTGAGGTGGAGAGGGGTGGGGGACGAGCGGCCGCGAAAGCTGCCTGATCAGATTGTTTGTGAAGCTCGCGGGTCAGCTCGTGGCACCTTCGGGGCCTCGCGCATCGCGCCTCTCTCAATGGGCCCCGCGGGAGCTGTTTTCTCCTCCGCTGGCTCGCGCGATTATTACTGACCTTATTAAAATGAAATCAGAAACGGGCCACGTGGGAGGGAGTGGAGAGGGGGCTCAGCGAATACAGGGAGGACAATAAGTGAGATTGTAGTGCGCGCGCATCTATGGGGCCAATCCTGCGCGCTCGTGACCGCGTATTGAAGGCAATACTTTGAACGGACCGTCCCAGTAAAAGCACGAAGTTCTTCACTCGCAGCACGAACAGACCGCAGACCGACATTATCAGTTCCAATGAGGCCCGAAGGCTCCACGCTGCCCGTGTCTGACAGGAGATTAAACTCGGGGGTGAACCTGCGATGACAACACCGTAAAACCCCCACAAATACTCACTTTACCACCGCGTTTACCCGCTGTGACTCCAGCACTCCACTCAGGCAGCGCCTATAACTGAACTGTAATTTACACATAACGGAAGTGCCACGGCTTCTTTAACGCTTCTAAAACACATCAAAACAAATAAATCCAATTAGGAACCCCTCGCGCCGCACATGCCCGTCCCCCCCAGGAGACCAATAACACACCAATTATTCCATATGCTTAGGCGCGAGTGCGGAACCGACGCGTAATGGGCGCCAGTGCCGGATGAGAGTCGTTGCCATGGCACCGCAGATCGCTGTGAATGTCTCCTTTCATCCCTTCAATGGTCGGCGACCCGTGCGCGCGAGGATAAGTAAGTTATGGTCATTAATGTGGTCGAGAAAGGGGGGTGGGGGATGCATCCAGTTAGATGGTGTCCGAATTAAACATGAGGAAGGCTGAATGACGCACAAGTCTTCCGTGCGCAAACTTTTATTTACACTTTTAAAGAGGTTCGGAGTCATTTACGCGATTTTTCCCGATACTAACCAACAGTAAAGCCCACGCGAACACGCCCGGAGCGTGTTCTAAAGATAACTGTGACTCTTTTTTGTGTTTTCCTCTCTGAAACTTTAAAATCTCCGGTTTCCCTGGCGGTGTGCTGGGCGGTGCGCATAAAGGTGAAAGTGGAGTAGTCTATAAGCTAAGTTAACCCTGCTGTTTGTTCAAGGAGGAAATTCTTCAGTGACCTCAGGCTTAATTTAGATGTCTGTTTCCAAGAAAAGCCTGAGTTTGCAATCATCAATTAAGGGCGCGATAAATTAAGCTCTCATGAGCGAGCGCTGGCCCTTTCTCTTCTCTGTCTGTCTGTTATCATCTGTGTGTCTGCGTTTGTGTGTGTGTGTTGGTTGGGGCTCTTGTGACTTTGCTTTCTAATAATCAGCAAAAACGATGACTGGAGTCACTATCAAAGCTTCAAAGCTATAACTAGTCTCTGATGTGATGTGTAAATATACATACATATATATGTGTGTGTATGTGTGTAGTACACTTTGTTCTAGTTCAATTAATTTAATCTTCCCTGTCATTTTTCCTCGTGTTTACCCCAAATTTCATTAAAATAACAAGTTTAAATGTACTTCGCACCAGGCCATATTGTTTCTGTGGGCAGGAACTGGATTAAAGTGAAAAAGTTTCAGTTAGATGTTGAGTCAGAATTGAGGAATGAGTGGTGTGCACTGAAAGCACATTCACAATTGAAAGTATTCTGACAGGAGTGCAGATACTATGGCTGTTGTAGGGGCCAGACAGAGGCGTGCAGAGACAGATTCTTGACATGTAACATGTACTAATAGCCTCGGCTTAAATTAAAAGCCTTGAGGGACTTTGCCCTCTCCAACCCATCTTAAATCCCAACCCCCCTCTGGTTGCTTCCGACCGCTGATTCTCAGTTTCTGCCATCAAAAAAGTGCAAAAACACATGTAGACATCTGTATCCGTGAGCTGACTTTACTGTTTTTATAACTCTAAAATCCTACACACTGGGTTTATATGATCAGCTTACACGTTTCCGAGCTTGTTTTTCCAATTATCTTCACCAGCACACGGATGCTTACCATAATTTCTAGGACTAACATACCAAGCAAGCCCTGGAAAACTAAAACAGTGTGTAGCAGGTCTAAAACAGCTCACCGGTTGGTTAGTACAGTGGGTGCATGGAAACAGGGGACTTTAATGTTCTTTTTTTTGATAACATAATGTATTATACTAACAGTTGGAATAGTTTTTTATTTTATTTTAAAAATTGAAATACTGAATAGGTTCACTAAATTAATGGAAACCCGTGAATGGAACACATTATTCAAAATAATAAACATGCCAAAAAAAAAAAAAAACAACAACCCTGACTTGTTTAAGAGCTAAAATTAATTCACGGGGAAAATGTGCTTCAAATTGCACTAATGAAATAATAATTTACAGCAAGCCTCTACAACGGTTTAATGCCTAATAACTATTCATGGATAATTAAATATAATCAGGAAAATATTTTTCGGGCACAATAAAACCATCAGGATAATGGAGGTGATGTGCCTGAGAATATGTGAACAAGGAGCAGGTGTGTGTGAGACACACGATTTAGTTTCTGCTGCTGCCGCTGCATCCTGGATTCACGGGGTAACAGTGTGAAAAAAACACATGTTACAGTATGTTTTTCTATATGTGTGGTTGCCTGCATATGTTGCGTGAGGCGGGGATGGCTCGCTGCATCTGCATATGTGTGTGTATGTGTGTGTGTGTGTGTGTGAGGGAGTGTAAAGGAAACATAGCGAGGTTTGACAGGCTTTGTGGCTGCGGAGGGAACACTGCAGCGAGCAGACAGCCCGCAGCCTGCTGCCACCAGACGCTGCTTTCATTAATTACTAAATAAAAACAAATTGTGAAACTAATTGAAAGGAAGGATAATTCATTTCCACCTACCAGAGGCATTATTCAATTACCTTGGTGTGTGCACCCTCCTTCTTGCTGTCTCTTAATTTTAACTCTCATCTCGTGCAGCCAATAGAATGCTTAACAAGTGTGCCGGAAAATGTTTTAATTCAAAAACTGTGCAAATGAATTACTCCACTGTCACCGAGTGCGAGTTCACTGTAATTCCAAGTGATGTGCCACTAAGCCTCAAATATATATGTATACACGCACATGCACAGCAATATAATATCTCGCTTGTCACGTCTGTTGTATTTTATGACTTGCAGCATGAGGAAAATGGAAAATGAGTCTGACTAAAAACCGGCTCTTGGATTGTGTTAAACTGTGTTGTCAGCGCGTTAGCACGTGCGGCAACATGGGATGTGAGACAACAGGTTCAGAAGTGTTAGGTTGAATCACTTGAGGGACCAAATTTCAAACAGATTCATATCGGGTTGAGCATTATGCAAGAGAATTGTGGTCAAATTCGTGGCCGCCAATTGACTAAAAACACGCCATCAGAAAACTGATTTCAAGAAGGATTCCTTCACCATTACATGCTCGCACACCGCGTTATTTCTGAGTATCTGAGCTCCTGAACACAGCTGTTATTTTGGAGAGAATATATGTTTTTATCATCCTGTGTTCTCATGCAAGCAATCACAAACACACACGCACACATTTACACAGAGCCAGTGCTTATGCACACTTTGCCCACTTGGTTGCTGGGAGAAACGACCCCTGTGGGTGTGTTGTGCTTTCGCAATGACTCTAAAGACGATTTAGAGAGTACAGAGAAGGGTGTAGAGTGGGAGCAAGGCAAATGCTAGCAAACTGCTCCGACTTAAATACGTCAGTCAGCTTGCAGCCAGTTTACAGATTCTGGCAGAGATTTTAAAGATGGAAAGTCTGTTATGAATGTGAGAGGTTAGAAACAAGAAGGAATACTTCAAAAGATGCAGAGGGGTACAAATGAGGGACAGGTGCGTGATGTCTTATTAGAAACCACAAGACTCAGAAGTACAAGAAAACAAAAGAAAACCAAAGACCAGAACGGTTGAAACTAGAGGAAGACTTTAATAATAGCTGTGGGTTGTTGTTTTTTTTTACCTTGAAGAAGCCTTTGCAGCCCTCACATGTGCGTACGCCGTAGTGCTGGCAAGCCGCATTGTCTCCACACACCGCGCAGGTTCCCTCTCCCTGTGGGCCACGCGGGGGTGGAGAGGGCAAGCTGTCTGCTAGTAGAGGGCCACAAGGTCCAAGTGCCAGGGAGCGAAAGGCGAGGCTGCTGCTCCCTGCTCCGCGGTGCAGCTGGTACAGAGGCTGCTCCAGGGGTGGGACGTGAGGATGGGAAACTGATGAGGAGGAGGAAGAGGAGGAAGAAGAGGTGCGAACCAGCCCTCCTCCCAGGCTATCATAACCGCCGACGCTGCCTCCACTGTGGGGCGGTGAATGCTGGTAGAAGTGCGGAAAACGGGGGGACTTGAGGGGGCCGGTCTCCAGGCTGGAAGGTAGAGAGTGAGGGTGAGAAGGAGCCAGGGGGTGCTCCTCCCCCCACAGGAAGGAGGTGCCCGGCTGGGGTGGCAGAGACGGGGTGGTCGGAGTGGAAGGGGGAGACTGTTTAAAGTACATGGTGGAGGAGGACATGGCCTCCAGGGGTGGGGCAGTTGGGTAGCTCTCCTCCTCCTTTTTGATGGTGGGCCTGTGCGTGGGCATCTGGTAGAGGCACGAGGACTTAGGCTCGTAGCTTCCGTCCACAAAGACATTGAAGCTTGGGAGAGAGGTGGTGGCAGCTGCAGAGATCTCACCCCCACCCAGGTCCAGCTTGGTGTAGTCGGGGGTCATGAGGTCAGAGCTGTAGCTTTCAGTCTGGTAGCTGAAGGACTGGCCAGAGTAGGCTGAGCCTGGAGGGGCCGGCCCGTACTGAGCCTGCACACAGGGCATATCTGTCGGAGGAAACAGAGCACACACGCAGGTTAGAGCTGCGTGGCACATCAGACCACATGTATCCCAAAAGCTTCACATTCCCATGTTAGTAGGGCACAGCTATATAGCAACAATCACTGGGCAGAGAAGAAGAATTTATGACATTTTACAAACAGTGATTTAATCAGAGAAGCAGGGCTTCATGTTCAGTAAATCTGCAGGATACAGGCAGACTCTATTGGACGCACATGCACACAGTGGTAACACTAAACAGGGTCAACCATTAAAAAATAAAAAAAAGAAAGAAACAAAAACAATCTGCACAGCTCTATTGGAACAGGCAGTTTGCAGAGTGTTATAAAAGTTTTTCTTTCAATGAAGAGGCTGTGAAAAGCTTTAACCAAATCTTTCCATTTGATGCAATTTACACCCATTTCTGCTGTTAACACTTCTTGCACTTGCACTGAGTAAGTACAGCAAAAAAAGGGAAAAAAAACCCTGAATACTGAAACACACACACACAAAACTTCGAACATTGCTGATTTTCCTAGTTAGTCAAGTTAGGGAAGCTGCAGTTGATGATCCTGAAGCTCAAATACAAGAATCTGTATGTGTGTGTATTCTGGTTAGTCAGATGGAAAAGCAGATGAGATAACATTAAATAATAATGGAACCCCATGGTGGTGCTGGATGCTTGCTGCACAGACCCTTCACACACACGCGTGCATGCACACCCTCTCATGCACACGCACACTGAGATAAAGACGGACACGCAGACACAGATATTTCCTCTAACTGCTGCAGACGCCAGTCGACATGTCTTCACTTTCCCCCCTTGATTTAATTCTGCTACAGCAACAGGCCACCAGCTCATCGTTTCTCTGTGTGTGTGTTTGTGTGTGGACTATATGGTCTTATCAAAACTCTTACGTAATATACAACGCCTGCGTTTGCGTGCGTCTGCACGTGTGTGTGTGTGTGTGTGTGTGCATAATAATAATCAGTCATGAGTGTCAGCGCAGGCAGGGTTTTGTGGTGTTTGCTCGTCTCTCCCGAGCAGGGAACTGTCAACACTGCGCTGCTCCCATTGACGCCCAGCATGCGCGCGCTCTGCCGTAATCGCCCCCTTTCCCTGTACGTCATGTTTGTCTAGTCAAATACGGGATATATCGGTCCTGCAGTTGTTAAAGCGTTCACAAATACCTCCGCCAAAGCGGTCTCACCTGAACTTTTATCTATTTATAAAGCAAGAAAAAAAAGGAAAATAGTCCTGATTTTATATATATATATATATATATATATATATATATATATATATATATATGTATTGAGATAAATAAAATTTTTTAAAATTCTTTGCTATAAATATTTTTTCTTTGAAATAATTCTTATTAATTTTTATATTAACCATTAAATATGCAAGCATAGTGTATCAGCAGGCTCATTAAGCCGCTACATTTCTTTCCTTCTTTTTATTTTAATTGAGGATATGAGTCAAGCTGTAGGCATACGTGTGCTTGACGTCATCAAGATTTTTTTTCTTCTTCTGCGAGTGACCAGCTCTTCAACCCACGTGGAAAAACACACATGCAGCATTAAGGGCGTCACGGGGCCTTTCTGGGCTATACCTAAAGACCTTTTTTAAAAAACTGATTATGCATCAGAGGAGGAAGAGAACCAGAGAAAGAAAAAACAAACTGAAAAAAGGAGAGTACAGTGGTAAAGGTTGCGGCTCTCTGTGTTGTGTCAGTAGGTCAAGCCTCAGATTAGGGGCCATCAGTGTAGAAATGTGTGCAAGACTTACTGCACGTGGCACATGCACATGTTTATATTTAAATATGGTAAATTTCTGGTTTTTCTGTGAAGAGATGAAAGAATGAGAGAGAAAAGGGTAGGAAGGCTACAAAGTAGTGTGATGTTTGTCTGTCGGGTGAGTAAAGAAATTCCTTCTGGTACACACACACCACCACCACCACCACGTGTGTTCATCTGCTTATAATGTTCACGATGTCAACATGGACTTGTATATGTTCATTCTACCAAAAGCATACACCCTTATCCTGAAAACCTGTAAAACCACTTGTCTCTGCGAGTGTCTCACCGTCTTCATTACTTGACTTTTGTTGGCGTGTCTAACCTTCACTCACACACCCATGCTTACAAACTTGCATCCTCTTTTACACACTCACCACAAGTGCAAATAGAGATCCATCACCGGAGCTTCTTAGTTGTTAATGTCACCAAAGCAAGTCAGTGTAGGGGATTCTCAAAAGTCCAATACCACCATCGGGTCGCCTTTATGACACTTGCATTGAAGCAGTTGTGTGCATATGTGTCTGTTTGTGTGTGTGTGTGTGTGTGTGTGCAAGCAAGAGGACAGACAACCCAAGCAGAGTCAGACATAGGTGGTGCAGCATAGTGAGGCAAAGGGAAACAGTCTCTAACCTCGAGGTGTGCATTTCAACTGGACAAACTGCAGCTGTTCCAATAACTGAGTGCGCTTGTTCATTGTCAGAATGCCATAGATCTAACAAATGAAAACATGAAGGTGCAGACATAAATTACAAAAACACAGATTTTCTTTATATCAATAAACTATAAAACATTTTCGGGGAGTCAGCGTCCCACAGCGTAGAGTGATTTTTACTTTTTTCCCTTTACACTGTGCACACAAAAATAACAAAAAAACAAAACACAAAGCACAGAGACACACTTACACAACCAGTTACTTCAGGGTATACAGTGTAGTTTCTATATTGAATTACAATGGACAAAATTGTGTGTGTGTGATTGTATTATATATAAATATATATATGATTCACATTTCGCCTCCAGGTTTTGGATATAGGTGTGCCTGGCCTCAGAATTGTCTTATCTTAATGACTGAAATGTCAGCTCACTTGCCAGACAAAATCAACCCACACACATACACATGGGCTCACGACTGCAGCACAAACAAAAGATCACCAGAACATTGAGGAAACTTCAACTCATATTTTGACCTTTAACAGGAGTAAAAGAGCATAAATATACACATAAATAAAACGACTGCCTATACCAGCTGATATTCAGATCTAACCCCTGTGTTTTAAACTACTAAATAAAAATTATATATATGTATTTAAATTTTTTTTTTCAATTTTTGGGAATGTTGTTTTTTTCTTTTCCCCCCACAATAAAACAATCACCCGACTCATATCACCAAGCACTCCACAACAGCAACACGAAATGAAAGTGTCAGAGCCGCTGCACTCGTTACAAAAGCATCAGATGAGAAAGAGATTAAAAAAGAAAGAAAGAAAAAAGGGTAAGATGAAAGTGAAGACAGACTGAGCGCTTGTTTCTGTACCTGGTGAAAGAGCCTCGCGCTGAATGGTGCTGGGTGTCCGGGATTTAGGGGTGGCGTGGCTGCGGCCGGGGCAGGGCTCCTGGAGCGGGGAGGGCTCGGCGGGCGTCGCTAAGGAAGTGTCCGACCGCCGGGGCTCCGAGCTCGGCTGGGCGCGCTCTTCCGAACCTGTGCCTGGGTGAGACATGGCTGTGTTAAAGCCAGTGGCAGGCTGAATAATCAGGTAAGTGCCTCAAACGCTCGTAAAGACTTAAAAAAAAAAAAGATTACTCAAAGAGAAGCGAAAATTTATTTCTTTTTTTTTCTCCCTCAAGAATGGAGACCTTTGTTTAAATTGCTTCCACAAACTTCAGCAAATTCAAATTCGGTGTTCAAAATTTCCTCACACTTTTAGAAAAAAATCGGACAGAGAAACATTTTTGTACAATTTAAAGACAACCAGCAAAGCTTTCGTTTCATCTCAAAAGCAAATCGTTATTGGCACAAAAATCTCATCTGAGAGAATCAGTCAGTTTATCGGGTTTAAAAGCAGTAGAAAGAGATAACAGGGGATGTAAAGCACTGCGCTGAGACGGCGCAAATTCAAATAACTACCAGTGCACACGCTGGAAGGCAAATTAGGGATAAGATTTAGACTTTTACATCCAACATAGGGCAATTCTGACAATAAATATGTCACTGAGTGCATCCTACAAAGAGAACCACAACTGAGGACTTTGGGTTCATTTCAAAACTTTGCCTACGTGGGCGACAGGTTTCATTTTAGCACTAACGTCTTCGCCGTTATTATTATTACTATTATTATAATTACTGCCTAATAGATATTTTGCACCGTAAAACAGAAATTCCACCAGTCAACAAACTATGCACGACTTCTGAAACAAAATAATAATAATGGAAAAAAAAATCATAATACAGACCTACAAAAGTGACAACTTTTATAAAAGCAGCTTGCGCCAGTGCCTCCGGGCCATCGCTTTTCTTGCCTCTGATCACCGCCGCATTCGCCTGCTCAGGGTTCATCCAGAGGGGAGAGAGAAATCTAGAAAACTGTGAGTCGGACCTGAAACCAGACCAGCGGGCTCCCGTGCGCCGTGCGCCTCCGACTCCCTCTCACTGCAGCAGGGTGCACCGTGGCCGGAGGATTTCAAGGCCCAGAGCGCCCCCTTTCTGTAACACACTCCTATATACTCTATCTCTCTCTCACTGTGGCTCTCTCTCCGCCACACATAGACCCCCTCTATGAGACGGTCAAGTTGAGAAGACCACGCAGTCTCCCTGTGTGTATCGCAAAACAGCTTGGTGACAACCCACAACCCTCATACGGATCAAGACTAGGAGCACCTGCAGCTTCATGTCAGTAGCCACTTTTCACCAAACTTTAAACCACTTCTCAAAGGATTTACTGGACACCCACGAACCCCCTGTCGGTGGTTCTTTTGTCGGAATATGGCTCTTATATAGATGTAATCCCTCCCAACAGCCCCCAAATAGGTTGGAATAAACAAAAAAGCACAAACCAGAGTAAACAGACAAGTCAAGCTGTATAACATTTATTTGATTAGGGCTGATTTGGAACAGTTAAGCCATTATTCAATTGTGTATGGAGCCATTTGAGCACTGAGAGAAAAAAAGAGACATCTTTAGGCCTGAAAAATGATTTTGTTACAGTAACAGCACAAATGGGAGTCAATTTGAAATAAGCTGAAGTCATCTCATTCTTACATAAAGTTGTGAAGCTAAACCCGTAACTGATAAATACGCTCTAATCAGAGCCTCCGAGGGGAGTTAAAGAGATGAAGATGAAGTGTTTTTACTTCAAACAAACTTATTTTTGTACAAAGTGAGACATTCTGCCTTTTTCTAACTTTTTTTTTAATGAACCCGCGGTCTCCCCCTACTTTATTCTCAGACCGAGCCGGCCGGTGGGGCTCTGGCCCTGCGCGCACCGGTAACCAAGAGAACGACAAAAGAGCTGTAAAGCACGCGCCCCGGAGCGCCGGTAGCCCCCGGTAGCCCCCTCGCACCAATAACCCCGGACAGCGCGAGGCTTCCAGCAAACAGAAACAGAGAAAAGAAAGGACATAAAGGAGAGAGCAGAGAAATATGCGAGTAGCCTAGCCTACTGTAAATCAGCCCTGAGTGGGAGCCTGTCACTGGAGCCTGCGTGCGCGCGTTCGTGCGTGTATGCGTAAACCTGAGTGTGTGTGAGGGAACTGAGGGGGGGAAAGAAGGTAAAACCAGCAACTTACTTAAGTACCTCAACCCGGTGTTGTCAGCTTATTATTATAAACTATGTGACTGGCCAAGAGGCACGATAGCTGCTGGAGCATGCTTCGCGGTGGGCTTCAGAAATGTTGTTGTGGCTTTATGGTTGAGGGTGTTTTTCCTGCGATACATGGCTCATGAAATTCGGAGGCAATTTGAGTACCAGTGTATCTTGGGCCAGTTTTATTATATACGGGTTAATGGTAACTGTACGCTCACTCCATGTTACTGAAGGTTAAATCATAGCGCAGTCCGGCACCGACAGCCGAGCGATATCTAAACTCAAACACACCCACAACCTCACAAACACGCACTTACACACATCTATGTATATAAATACATTTTATAAAAAGACACCACCCCCTCAAAAAATTAAAAATTAAAAAAAGAAAAAAAAACTCCGATAAGACACCCCCCCCCCCCCCCCCCACACACACACACAAAACCCAAACACACCATGGCTTGAAATGAAAGAGCATTAAGTCTCCTCTCCGAGCTCCTGCCTGAATGTAGGTTACACCGCTCTTCACTCAGACCATTTGTGCGTCCGACTCCACTATTCATTGTGAGAGTGAGAGGCATCTCATTTCCATGACAACCGGAAAGGATACGATACCTTCTCCAGCGCAAATTAAATTCAGAGTTCAGCCTCATTCGCCGTAGGAGAACCCACACATAGGCACAGACCAACAAACATGACCGGCAACACGCGTGTGCCGGTGGCTGACGTGAGCAGCAACAGGTTAGGCACACAAAGTTGGGCAGCACGCGCACAGATGATGTTAGAGTAGTAAATCCATCATGGCTTTTGATATAGGTGGCGAAAAATTAAATACGTAAAGCTGAGGGTTATCTTCTTTCGGCGTGTTTCCGCCAAGATGTGAGGCAGAGCTTTACAGATTCATTCATTCATTCAGTTTACTTACTTGTTTGCTGTAGCGGTTCCGTCTTTACATGTAGTGGGCTAATAACTTCGCGTGAAGTATCCGTTTTCCATCCAGAACAACCGCAAAGAGATAAAAATAATGACAGGAAAGAAAAATAATAATAAAAACACTCTTAGTGATCTCGGAGAGGCGCTGGATTCGTCGGCATTAGAAAAAGAAAAGGAAAAAAAGTTCCGTTCCTTCCACTTACTTTTTCTAAAGTATAAAAAGTAGAAAATGAAATAAAAAAGAAATCATCAAACTCCCGAGTGGCTCTAAGGAGCGAGTCTGCGTCCGTCCCCGTGCTGCTGAGTGTGTCAGTGCTGATGGGTGCTTTGCAAAGTGTGCTCTTGTAACGCGCGTTTGTTTATGTGCGCCGTCTGAGGGGAGAAAGTCAAATAGTGCATTTATGTGGGCTCTGCCTCCACACAGAGCTCTTGGTATGCGCTACGTCAATGTGACGCCATGGGAGAGGTGACGTCACCCAGTGTAGAGCTCCCTCTCTCTCTCTCCGTACAGTACAAGACACATAAGCCCCGTGTGCCGTGCCAAGGAAAGAGAGAGCGAGAGGGGTGGAGAGAGAATCTGAGAGAGCCAGAGAGCGAGGCGGTTGGTTTGATGGTTGCAGGAGAGGAAGCCGAGGGGGATCCGGCGGGCGAGCCTCCACCACTAGCAGGAACTGTAAAGAGGCTGTTCTTCTAGATTACTTAATCAACAAAGTATAAAGTAAACACAAAACCTTAAAAAATGCAAACAAATATTAATAAAATAGATTTTAAATTTAGGTTCATCATCAAAATATCCTATTTCTCTTTCTGCAAACACAGCATATTAATAAAGGTAACAATAATATTAGTCATGAGCATGTTTTCCCATACAGAACACATGCTGGGATGTATCTAAATATTTCCAATCAACTACCTGGTGATACTTGTGCTCCATTACTTTTCAGAAGCATGTTTTAACCCATTGTACACATCTATCCACAAGTAAACTTTAATCAAACATGTCAAAAGCAGCATTTCTCCGTGTAATGGAGCTCTTTTAAGGTGTGTTTCCAGAAGGGATTGTATGAAGATTATAATATCATTATAAACCACCATAAAAGCACACTTGCATAATTTTGGTGCCTTTTTAACGTGCTCCGAACAGATTTTTACCTGAAATTGCAGATGAACCTGTAAATGAAGGGCCTCAGAAAGGACTTTTTTTTTTTTTATCTTAGGTAAAGTCATTTGCTTATTTATTTGTTGTACAGAGCAGATTTTAAAACAACAAACCAAAACAACAGTTGACCCAAAGTGCTTTACAGGAGTGATCATTTGTAATCCAGATCTCCAAGAACCCAATTGCAAACACAACTCACAGAAAAAGACCATAATACTATGTGTGATATGTTTTCTGGTCAGGGCACTGACCATCAAGCATCACCGTTAGTATAAATCAGCTTCTCTAAGGTTCATTTCCAAGCATTTGTTTAAGGTAGTGGTTTTCAAACTTTTCCTGGCTTTTTACACCCCTTTTTACACCCCTCAGAAACAGGGAAGGAGCCAACCCACACAACCATACTTTTATGTTTTTTGAATTAACGATTAACACAAAAGGGAGAGCCTTTAGCAAAATTGTGTTTATTCTGGCTGCAAATAAAATCATATTATTTTGACTTTGGTTCACTCTGTATTTCTTTAGTGTCTGCATGTCTCACCAGGCTTCATGCCCATAGTCTGAAAACAATTTTCAGGCAAAGGCATTAAATGAAAAATCACCACCTAAAGCTCAGACTATAACTGGGTTATTTTTCCAAGAGAAATGCAGATAAATATGTTTTAAAAACGGGTAATATCCCACAAAAAGGTAATATCCCACAGCCTTATTTTGGTAAAAGATAACAACATCAAGAAAAGCCCTGATACATGGATATTTTAAGTGGGTTGAGCTGGATGAGCTAAGGCTGTTTTTAAAAAAAATATGTTTTAAAATAAATATATGAGCAAAAATTTGTTGATTACAGTTTTGAAGACTGGTGAAATGACCTGATTTGTGAAACTGGAAGTCAAATATATAATTTATTAATGTCTGTATAGCAATAAAACATAAAAAGCTCAGCCAGGATGGCATTGGAGTGGACTTAAATCCCTCTCTCTCTAATTTTGAAACTCACATTTAAAACTGTGGAGAGGCTAATGTGGTCTTGAGTAGGGAAATACTGTCAGCAGCCAGCGAAGGCAGCAGACACTGAACGGGATGTGAGAAGCAGCTATCAGTTTCGCTTCTGCGCGCTCTCAAACCTCAAAATTAAAAAACGCCTCCGGAGACGCCGGGAATAATAATTCTCAACCGCCAATCACAAGGCGCGCATTTTTCAGTCAACGTGCTAATTCCGACCAATGATCAGCCCCTGGGGGCGGGGAATGCCTTGACGCACTGAGGCTCGTGATTGACGCAAGCCTTGTTGCTAATTTTAGCTCTTGGCCGACGGAGACAGTGAGATAGCCGACATCCTATTCATTGTCGGGCGGGCCCGACTATTTTAGCGTTGTGATTGTGATCCAGCCAAGCCAAATATAGCTATAGACAGGTATTTTTAGCCGTAAAGTGTGACCCCGTTTTTATTCGGCTAAAGAAGCCTCGGGATGCAGTTTGAAAATGAGTTTCGGCTCCCCAAAAACAGCACACTCAGTGTTAACCTGTTATTTTAGCCGGATAGTTTTTCAGTCAGCTGATAGAGTAGAGCAGGCATACCCAGAGAGAAAGTTCCAGTATAGCACAGGCTCTCTCTCTGTCACTCTCACTCACTGCGGGGGAAACAGGGTGGAAAAGACCGTAGATGTGAAGATAAATAGCCGTCAGGTCGTCAGACAGACACAGTCAACAGGTTTGTATATGTGATGGCTTTGCAGCTTCGCACAGCACCGCTGCTGCTGCTGCTGCTTCTCCTCACACGAGGCGTATCAGCTGAGGCAAAACCGCTGCTGCTGCTGCTGCAGGGGAGCTTTAACCACTTTTGAGTGGTGAGGATGAAAAGTTGTCAACTAGAGGATGTTTTTCATAAAAGTCATGAAATTGCGGGGGGCGCGCAAAACACTTGCTTGGAAACCATGTGTGCATGTAAAGAAAAGCCTTGCTTGTCCACCAAATCGTCGGTCCCAAACTCCCTCCCTCCCTTCCAATTCCTCTCGAAGGTATGTAGGTTATGCAGTGAAATGTGCAGGACATCCGACATTCCTGCCAGTTGCCAAGTTTTTGCTTGTAGCCTGCTCAACTGTGACTGGTGATTAATACTTTTACTTTTGAAAGTCTTTGGCAGTCCCTTTGTGCCACGATCACAGCTGCAGGGTATACAGATCACATGCCACCAGACCACAGCCATCCAGAGGCTCATTAGAGTTGTGATTTATGCGTAAACTTCCCCTCTTAATTCACATTTCCACTCAATTCATGCTTGTTTAAACTTATGTTCTTCCATTTAATTGGGCGGGCGGGTGGGTGGGAGGTTTGCTCTGGTTCAGATGAGTGCCTGGACAGTGCAGGTGTCTTAATGCACCTTGAAGAATGCACATGTTTTTTGTGTGTTCCTCGTATTCAAATCTTCTGTAAATCATAAGCTTATTACTAGATGATATCCTACATACATATCCATATGGCATAGATCACAAGTTGTTCTTCTTCTGCATGTCTTGTGTTGTTCTTTGTCTTTTCTCAGCTGGGATTCCCTCTACTTTCGGGGGGTGGGGGATGAAGTTTTGCACTAGTGCCGCCATATGCAAATTAATTTACTGGTCATTTCTACTGTCTTTATCTTCAGGTATGAATCATATAGCGTAAACTCATTTTATAGCTATCTTTATGTTAGTGTTCATTATTTTTCTCCTGTTCCTGGCTCGTTGGCACATCAGCTGCCTGGGCTGTGAGCTCACGGTCCTGACGTGTAATCCAGATTAACCTGCTCTCTTATTCCGCCAGACTTGGAAGAGATTAGAGATTATGACCGTGTCCTTTTAATAGAATTGGATGTGTGGGTAATCAACTGCGTCCGCCAGCGTCGGGCATCAGGTGACTCACTCACACTCAGTCACACTCGCACAGCCACTTATTTTGTCACTTAGGAGGACGTTGCATTGATTTGCATTCATTCCCCAAAGACTCACTGTACTCAAAACAGCTAATACGCGTTTAACACCAGGCTTAACTGTAACCAGAGCCAAAGTTACAAACCTAAAATTGAATTGTTTACGTATTAGGGTTCACGTTCTGTTGCTAAATTATCCGCACAATGTGACTGTTTGAACTGAAGTGAACTCAAGCCTGTAGTTGTGTTTCACCTGAAACACAAGATCCCTCATCAGCCAGCTAGATAGTGAAGTGAGTAAACCATACAAAAAAGGAAACATCCTACATCCCTAAAGATATATATATTTTTTCCTTTGGCACCTTTGTGACCTCATTGCTGCCCCATTCTATGGTTACACCAGAAATAGAAAGTCCTAATTTAACACTTGGCTGTGGCTGAAAAGACAGGTGGAACAGAAAAAAGGATGTGCAGTTACCAATACTACTATACCTCAAGTCTTTTTTTTTTTTTTTAAATGGACCTCTTCTTGCCCGCTGTCACATGTCCTGGCGTTCTCTCACTGCATCTCATGCTGTAGTTGATTATTCTGTTGTTGTTTTTTCTTCAGACAAAAAAAAGCAAAAGCAAGTATTTTCTTGGAAATTTGCAGTTTTTGGGAAGCAAAAAATGAATCCAGACTGAGCTCCAGCTAAAAAGTAAACGAAGTGATCAATTTTCATAAATAGCAAAAATCTTCTGCCACAATCTTTATAACACAGCCCACAACTAAGGGTGTAATTTCCCTACAATTAAATTGAAATTCATTGTATTTTATCAGAATCTGAATGTAATTATATTTTTGGGAACATAATTGGTAATCAAATGCCCTTTTATATTACATATAAAACATGATAAGGACTGTTCTCTCTTTATTACATACAAGAAAAAAAAATGAACACATGTCACAGGGTGTAGAGCCATGTGATCTTATAACAATGGAGCAAACTCATAGTTGATTTTTTTTCTTTGGTTTTTGTGTCAGTGCAAACCCCAAATTGAACATAACAAAATCTACAATAAATGTTTGATGCTAGCAGATTGCTGTGGTCACCACTAGTTTGCATGATCTTGCCAACTATTAGCAGAGCAGTAGTGCAATCCAGAAATGGAGGTTTCTTTCCAAGAAAAAGCTCTGCCTTCTGAAACAAAAGCATAACAATCTCCACTTCTGCTTTGAATCACACATGTAATGCTAAGCCACTAAAAAGGGGAGAAATGTTCACCAGAGGGACAAAGCAGTGTTTCCTCATTGAGGACTCTTAGTTGAATCAAATAATTTAAACATATAC